GGTGGGGCCACATCCCTTTAAACCCCTAGGGCCTCCCCTCCTGGCCCAGGTCACTCTCCAGGTTAGGAAGTGTGTCTGGCCTCACCTTGATCTCCTTGCTCCATGTCACTGAGAAGAGGGGACCAGGGGATCAGCTAAGAGCCAAGCCCACCCGCCACAGCGCACTCCCTGAGCCCGCGCTCCCGCGCACCCAACAGCACAGCCTCAAGGTGGACCCGGGACTGGGTGGCCAGACTGGCATGTCCCAGGGCTGAGGTGGGGCCCAGGTGGACACTGGGGTGGGCAGGGAGCTCTGCCCCGTGACCCACTGCTCGTGCCTCCGGGGGCCATGCTGGGCCCACCCTGTGTGGCTGGGCTGGGCTGGCCTGGAGGTGACAGGTGCAGCCAGGAAGGAAGAGGGACCGATGGTGCCCAGGGCTTCCCCAGCCGCAGGGTTGCCACAGGCTCCCAGGGGCCGCAGCGGCCTCCACACTCCTCAGCGGCCGAGGCCAGTCAAGCCACCTGCAGGAGGAAGAACCAGGCATCACTTGGCGAAGGGTTGGCGGGAGGCTGAGGTCGCCCAGCGCCTGTGCTCCCCAGGGACCCTGCCAGTTCCCACTCCTGCAGGTTCAGGATTAATTCACAGACTCCTGGGAACAGGGGGGCGTGTGGGAAGCGAAGACCAGGCCCCCCCCCGGGGCCCTGGGGCTGGGCTTCCACAGAGAAGGATGGGGGCTGAGCCTTTAGGCATTTAGAGCTGCAGGGGACACAGTGGCAGGAGGACATTCACCTGGAGGGTGAACAGGGAGCAGAAAGGGGCTCAGGACTGCGCACCTKCGGAGGTTCGCAGAGGTTCTCCCTCCAGAAGGTGCTCACGGTTAGGCAGTGGGGACTCACCTCCAAAGCAGATGTCCCAAGGGCACGGATCCGGCTCCCCCACCTAAGCTGGCCTTTCTCATGGCCACGCCAGGTGGGACAGAGGCACGCCTAGGCCAGGTTATTTGTAGGGTCCCTCTGGCCCCATCGAAACTGAGCAGGGTCCTCGCTTCCTGCCCATCCAGGGGCATCTTTGGGTGACAGTTTTGCATCTGGAGACGTGTGGGGCGTCAGCCTTCCMGGTGGCCCTCGGCAGAGTTGCTCTCCTCACGGGTCCCAGGCTCAGCTTGGCACCTGGGACAGATGACGAAGCCCCCTGAAGGAGGCTGAGCCCCACGGCCCCTGCCTCCCGGATTGTAAGGGGATGCACCAAGTGATTCCCGCCGTGTGGCGCCCTGGGTGCAGGAACCCCGGAGAGTACAGGAGACGTTTGTTAATATCGTTCCTTCACTTGCATTTTTTATTCTGATTTATACTGAAAACACATGTATCTGCCACTACCACACGAAATCCACACTTTTGTACCTGTTACTGTCAGAGTCGAGGTTAAAAGAAAAAGAAATATGAAAAGGAAGAGAAATATAAATGAAACAACATCACTCAGAACTGTGCCTGGGACATAATAGGTGCTTCATAAATATTAATTGAATGAATGAATGAATGAATGAAGAGCAAAATTAAAATCAGCACCTTCAAACATATGAATTTGAGGAAATACTGAAGGAACATACAGAGAGCTCCCGGTACAGTGCCTGGCACAGAAAAAATGCTAAAAAAATATTCATGAGAGTATAAAAAATTATTATATATGGTACAACAAATAGATACTGTGGCCAAATGCTGACTAAGTGCTAAAATCAAGCTTTGCCTGAAGCTGAACATTCCTATCATAGAATGAACCTCTGAACCAAACAAACAAATGGGACCATGTACTGCTAGGTTGGGCGTGTATTAGTCTGTTTTCCTTTGCTATAACAAAATACCTGAGACGGCTTACTTTATAAAGAATATAATTTTTGTCATCTGCAACTTTAGCACGCAAATCTTTCAGGCCAAATTTTTAGTGAGGGATCATTTCTGTTTTGTCAGCTATCAACTTGCTCCTCTGGTCTATAAGTCCCAATGGCAGTTCTAAGAAATGGCCCTGAATTTTTTGATGTGTCTTCCAATGAAAAGTGGGGTCTCTGCCCCTATCATAGAGTCTGGGAAGTTTTGTGGCAGTGAGGCCGTGGTGTAAAATGCAGAGGTTTGCTCTGAAGCCCGGAGCTGCCTCGTGAGAAGTCCAAAGGTCTGGAAGCAGCCATAACAGCAGGAAGCCCAAATCACTTGGACAGACAATGAATTGGAAGTCCCAGTGGATCCCTGCCTCTTAGCCATTTTAGCCCAGGCACCAGATTTATAAGTAAAGAAGCCTCCATGGCCCAGTCCCTGTTCCCCAAGTCATTATCCTTTAGGTTTCCTACTAAGGACCTGAGCTTCATGGAGCAGAGGTAAGCCGTCCCTTCCGCCCTCTATCCAACGCTGAGCCGTGGAGTCCATGAGTCCTAATACAATGGTTGCTACTTTGCACCACTAGGTTTAGGGCGGTTTGTTTTGCTGAAATAGAGCCAGAGCAGCAGCTCACTTAATCACTGAATAATTGAAATAGCATTACCTCTCATGCAGAAACCAAAATCCATTGCCCTACTTACACCACTATTTGAACATTCACAGCGGTTATTTCTGAATATAAAATTACCGGCCTTGACAACCACTGTTAATCTTTTAGTGTTTCCACTGTTAAATAACTATTATGAAAGAGTAACTATACATTTCTCCTTCGACTTGACTGCAAAAATGCCAACTTAACCAACCCCCTACAGAGCTTTCCACCCCAAGGGACACCCAGAAGGCTTCTCTATATTTGAAAGGGGGATAGTCAGATATAAATGCGAAATGTGATGGCCAGGCCTTGCTTGTGGTCCCGATGTGGCTACACTTGTTCTGTAGATGGATCGATATCGGACTCGGGAGGCACAACATGACATAGAAGAAAGGGTTTTTAACGCTCAGACTTTTGAAGCCCAAGATCCCAGCAGAACCCTGAAGCAGTGCTGAGATTGTCATGACAATGATCTTTAGGTTTCCTTGGCTCCTTGGGGGGCGGGGGGTGGCGAGGTAGCTGGGAGTCAGAGGAGAACCTGAAGCCCACTGACTCCTGGCATCCTAAGAAAACTAGTGAACGGATTTGAGGGAGTCCCAACCCCCTTCCCACTCCACTCCAAGAAAGCAAGGGTGCTGGCAGACCCCAAGAACAAGACTGGCCCCCACCTGGTCTCTCACTATCTCCCATGTGATCTTTCCCTGTCATCGTGAAGCATCCATTGTGAGACCCTCACCAGAGCCTACGTGGATGCGGCTGCCCAATCTTGGACTTCCAGCTCTGAAACTGTGAGCTAAATAACCTCTTTTCTTTATAAAGCACCGAGTCTTGGGTATTTTGTTATGGCGACAGAAAACAGACTAACACATGTCCAACTTTCTGTCAAATCCCCTAGAATAGGGTCACATCCCCTCAGATCCACCAGGGCAGGCCCATCACCTTTTAAGTGCTCCCTGCTGGCTGCTCAGACCCACTCCCCCAACCAGGGCCTAGACATATCTGTTTAGACCATCACCCCAGGGTGAGTCACATTCCCCCAAACTTCATTAAACACATGTACAGCATGATTTCCAGCTGAAAATTTTCAGTCATCTCCTCTAACTCTGTACATTTCTAACAAACCAATGTGCAAGTCAAATCTCAAATCACACTCCAAATACCGTGGTTAGGACAGTGCAGCCACATGCAGTCATTTGGAAAGTCTGTGTACAGGTTCTGCAAGTTGAGAAACAGGGCTGGGAGACTCCACTGATTGGCAATGGTGGAGACCAGCCTCTCTAAGGCTTGGGGATCGGGGACAGGCACATGGTTGGAGCATTTCCCAAATGGATGTTCTGTTAGTCCTTCAAAGGAGACTTTTTGGGGGGAGGGGGTCTATTTATACTCTAGGAAATTTCTTGGGAGCTTGAGGTTGATCCCTTATAATTTTTATCCTTTAAAATATTGAGAAACAGGCACCCAGCTGACACATTATTTCTGCTGGTTTTTAACAGCACTAGGCTGGAAACGTGTTCTTGCCATGTACAGGCAACAGCGCCCTCTGGTGGCCCTCTTGGCCATCACAAAGATCTGCAGATGCTCCAGAGGGGTGGGGGGGGTGGGGGGCTGGGGAGCCCCATTCCAAGAAAAGGTGGGACCTGACCCCAGCCCACATGGATGTAGGGGTGGGGGCTTCAGCCCGCAATCACAAGGCCTGCACCCCACCTCCATCCAAAAGGCCCTGTTTTCTGTGTTGGTCCAAAAGATGTGCTTTTGCTCACTGGGCATTGATGTCCACTTTTTCTGGAAACAAGTCTTCATTTCAGCTTACATTGTTCTTGAAGGACAACCCCCTGTGCATCACCCCTACCCCCCACCCCCATGTGCACCAGGTGCACAGTGATTCGATGAGAACATACCATCAAATCTGTTCAAGAGACCTGGGCCTCATTAGGACTTGTTGTTTTGCTATTAGAGAAGAAACATTTGTGGCTGGAGCTACAAAGCTGGGTGAGGGGTCTAAGCCTGGAGTTTAGGTGGAGGTCTCTGTCTCTGTGGGTAGGAGCGGCTGCTTGGAAATGAAGCTGATCAATTAAAGTAGATTTGAGGGCAACTGGATCCAGCAGTACCTGAAGCCAGTATGCCCCCAGGGTATTTCCATTTAAGCAAACTGGTCAAAATCTTCTCTCTTTTTTGCTATATTAGGGATTTGACTTGGGGGTCCTAAGCATGCTCAGCAAGTGCTCTACCACTGAGCTATATCCCAGGACCTGTTTTTATTTTATTTTGACACAGGGTGTCCCTAAGTTGTTGAGGCTGGCCTTGAATCTGTAATCCTCCTGCCTCAGCCTCCCAAGTCACTGGGATTACAGGTGGGTGTCACTGTGTTTGAAAAAGAAATCTTAATTTTGTGGAAAGTGGGGGATCACATGCTCTACCTGATAAACCCCAGGCCCTAATTCCTCTCTTCCCTCCCTGCAAAATGTCCTCGTTGCTGCTGGCACTTGCAAACTCAGAGGCAGCATTAATCAAAACCATCTTTATTATTTAAACAGCATCCTGTCCTCAGGGGCCTCCAGACAGGAGCCCCCAGAGGGCAGAACAATATTTACAAGGGTCGGGAGGGTGAGGCAGAGTGGGCCCCCCACTGTGGAAGACAGGACCTGGAGGAGGGCGTCCCTGGGCCTGTGGACTGGTCCCAGAGGAAGAGTTCCCTCCTGGGCTCAGCGTGGATCCTGTCGTGTGGAGCTGAAGCCGCCCAACCTTGGGCCCGGACAGGTGTGCCGCAAGGAGCCGCCACAGGTCACAGCTGGGTCACCATGCCGCTGGCTTCGGAGTGAGTCTGGGGACAGACAGCTGGGGCTTCTGAGGTCCGAGGGGCTGCCCCCAAAGTCCCACGAGCACCATCTCCCTTCCCCAGAAGACTGGAGGCCCCTCTGTCCCCCAGGGCGCCTTCTTCTAGGGTGCCCCAAATTTCAGCCTCCCCTTAGCTCCCCAGAGTCCCCCCAGGGGGGAGGGGACACCTCACCTTTATGGCCTGGAAGATCCACTCCCGGAAGTCACTGACTTTGGTGTAGACACCTGGCTTCTGGGCCAGGGCACAGCCGGTGCCCCAGCTCACGATGCCACAGAGCCGCCAACGTGGCGTCCGAGAGATGCTGTCCTCACACACAAAGGGACCCCCACTGTCACCCTGGAGAGGGAAGGGCAAGGCGGCTGGAGGCCAGGAGGCCCTCTGTGCTCAGGCAGGGAGCCCCACCGCCCACTGCCCTGGTCTCCGTCCCTGGGCAGCAGGGGCCCGGCTGTCCCCACACAGCCCTCACCTGGCAGGCGTCGATGCCACCCTCGGGGTAGCCGGCACAGAACATCTTGGGCTTGATCTGGTTCCCGTAGAAGTCGGGGCCGTTGCAGACGTCCGTGCTGATGATGGGCACTCGGGCCTCCTGAAGCACCCGGGCCTGCTGGCCTGGGGGTGCGGGGGCAAGGCTGGCCAGAGCCCAGGAGCATGCACGACCCCTCCCTCCTCTACCCCACGACCCCCAGGTCTCTACACACCAGGGCCTGTGGCTGTCCAGCCCACTGGTCTGCCCCTCCCCTGCCCGGGTCAGTCTCCCTAATGACGGTGTCCAGGCAGGGCACGGGACTCACCATAGTACTGCGTGTTGCCCCAGCCCGTCACGGTGCAGATCTTGCCGTCCACCAGGGCCTGGTCCGCGGCCGGGAGACACACGGGCTGGATGTATTCTGTGACAGAGACCCCGTCGGTCCAGCCCCTGCTGGCCTTCTCCGCCCCACCCAGCACAAGCCCGTTCAGCTGCCTCCATGTCCCCCCCACCAGACCCTGTCCTCTGACCGTCTGTGATGGCCACAGTGACCCACCGTCTAGGCGAGCTCTCAGTGTGCTAAGTGCTCTCCTGTTCATCTCATCTCCCATCAGCCCCGGGAGGTAGGGGCAGCCATGACCCCAGAGAAGGGCCAAGTCACTTGACCAAAGTTTCATAATGAATCAATGATGAAGTCAGAATTTGAACCTAGGTTGGCCCAATTTCTAAGCCTGTTTTGTTAACCACAGCCATGGCACTACCCCCAACCCAAAGGGCGCCTTTGGGAAGAATCCTGTGTCGAGATGTTTGACTTCCACCTGTCATCACGAGAAATACGTAGCCCTACACCAAGAATGCCCCTCCGAGATATGGCACCCTTGTGCAGTGCACAACCTACGCAAGCGGTCCTGGCAGCCTGACTGTTGACTTTTCCTGCCTGAGACTCAGAGGCCTCAGCTGTAAAATCAAAATAATGATCATGACCCACCGGAAGCACCCTGAAAATTTGGTGAGGCAGCATATGCCTGGAATCAAACAGCAAGTACTTGGTGACTAGTCACAGTAATAAGTGACAGTCACAGCAGTAACTGCTAACAGTTTGGGAGCACTTGCTCTGGGCTGCTAAATCTCAAAGCTCTTTACTCGTTTGAAACCTTTTGATGGCCTCAACAACCCCAGGAAGTTGTTTTACAGCTGAGGAACAGGCACAGTACGGTGAAGCCACGTGCCCCAGATCCCACCGTGGACAAATCCCCGGATCTGTCCCCAGGGCCCTCAGCCATGTGTCTCAAACCCGGCTGCTCCCCCCCCCCCCCCAGTCCTCATTTCAACATTGTAAACCCTCCACTCTTCGCTCAGGAGAAGGGAAGAAAAAGACGTACATCCCTCCCTTAAGTGAAAGACTAGGATCTCAGAGCCCAAAAGAGAAAATGACCACAATAAACATGCTGCGGGCCACGGCGGGTACCGACCTCCTGGCCCCCGGCTGGCACCGCGGGCAGCGCCAGGCAGCCCCAGCTCGGCTCTGCCGCTTGCCAGCCGTGGAGCCTGGAGCCGTTCCCTTCCCTGTGCGGGGACCGAGTGCAGGTGGGCCACGGGCTCTGTGAGATGCTCCCCGGGGCCACCGTGAGCAAGGGTTGAGGACAGAGCCTGGCACGGGGCAGGCACCGCGCCAGCCTGGAGGCTCGTCGGCAAAGCCACCACGGAGTCACCTCATGGCTTTAGAGCCAGGCGTGACTTAAGGGTGGGGTCCGTATCTGAGACATGGATCGTGACGTGACCTTGTGCAAATAACGCGACCTGAGATGCCTGAGGCCACATAAGCTCACGGGCCCATGTCCCCTGCACAGTCCGTCACTGACCAAAACCATCTCCTGTGGCCCATAACTGCATCGTCCCTGCATCATGACTTTCGTTGCTATCGCACTGGGGCCTGCGAGAGCTGGGACCCAGGTCTAACCAGAGAACTGTGAAAGGAGGGACTCCTGGTGACCTCTCCACGGATCTGTCCCCTCCCTGCTCAGATTTCATATTTCATTTAATTATTCTGGGCAGCACGTTCGTGAGCTACACCTCCCAGGCCGTCCTCCTCACCAGCTTGGAACATGCAAATCCAGGGCTTCAGTGTATTCCCAGACACACACGGTGACCACTCTGGACTTTAGAACATGTCACCACCCCCAAAAGAAACCCTGTATCCTTTACCAATCCTCCCAGTCTCCACAGTCCCGCCGCCCGCCCCTGGCAACCATGAACCCACTTTTGATCTCTATGGATTTGCCTGTTCTGGGCATTTCGTAGGAATGGAATCACGCAAGACGGGCTTCCTTCATGGGCAGAAGGACTCCCTAGTTCACCCGTGGTGCCGGGTGAACCCCTGTCTTGTTTCCTTTTCATGGCCGTATAGGAGTCTGCTGTAGGGACGCACTCTGTTGTGTTTATCCATCTGTCAGATGATATGCATGTGGGTTGTTTTCATCTTTGGGCTTTTATAAATAATGCTGATGTGAACATTTGTGCACAGTTGTGTAGACACGTGTGTGTCCCTCCTGGATGTGCACCCCAGATATGGAACCGTCACATGGTCAACTGCCAGAACATTCCCAAGTGGCTGCACCCGCTGCCCAGAGTTCAGGATCACTCATTCCCCTGATGCACGAACACCTGGATCATCCATGCATGCTAGTCTGCTCTTGTCCCCCTCCTTTGTCCTGTCTGTCTCTGGAGTTCCCAAGTCAAGTCATCCCTGCCCCCGAGATGTACCTGTGAGGGGCAGGGGGCTGGACAGGTGGACCAGGGCGATATCATTGCTGTTCTCCTCACTGCTGGGGTCTCGGAAAGGAAGGTAGCCCCCGTGGTAGACCACGGCCTGCACCCCCAGCTGCATGCCCTGGGGCGAGGCCTGGGCCACTGCACCGGCAAACACCCGCCATCGAGACAGGACCCGGTTCCGCCTGCCAAGGGACAGGAGGGAGGGTGGTGGCCGGCCAGGCACGGCCTCACCGCCTCTCCCCCGGTGGGTGCTGTGGGGACACTCACTCTGGGAAGCAGTGGGCAGCTGTCAACACCCAGTCCCCGGAGAGCAGGGACCCCCCGCAGAGGTGCGCGCCGTCATAGCGCAGGCTGACTTGCCAGGGCCACCTGCCCAGGCTGGTGTCCTGGCCCCCCACGATGCGGTCCACGGGCAGCTTCCTGCGGCCACAGTCTGTGGGGGAAGGCATCGGGGTGCCAGGGGGAGGTGGGAGCCCAACAGAGGTCTGGCCCTGGGTTCTGAGAGCCCTGAGGACAGGAAGACCTGCCCTGGGGACTGAGGGGACAGCCCAGCCCTGCCCCACCCTGCGCGGTCTGAACTTGACACAGCCCCTTGGGGGACCTGCAGGGCCACAGCCCTGCCCTGGGGAGAGTCTCAGGGGCCATGTTCCCCCCGGGGAGAAGCTAAAGGAAACAGTCTTGAGTTTGGGGGTCTCACCTTGGCACACGGTAGCCAAAAACCGGCCCCGGGGACAGTCGCTGTGATGGAGAGAGGGATGAGGACCCAGAAACGAAACACCAATGAGTCCAGACGAGAGGAACAGGAGGAGCCCGGGGCCAGGGACTGTCCCACCCGGCCGCTGCCCTCCTCACCACACGGAGATGACGTCCAGCAGCCTCTGGGCGTGGGGCAGCCTGCCCTCGTCCACGCAGAAGAAGCCCGACGTGCCGTTGGCGCCTGCCGTCCGCACGTCCAGCTCCGAGTGGGCCAGGGCCCTGGGCAGGGCGGGGGTCAGACCTGCTCCTCCCGCCCCCCCCAGCCCCACCCCCTGGGGCTCCCTGGTACCTGAGGAAGCCCATCTCCTCGCAGCCGAGCCCGGCCACCCTGGCGTTGGAACGCGAGGAGCACAGCAGCCGCCAGGTCCCCTCTGTCTGGTCAAACACCGTGAGCCGGGCGTCCACAGGGCTGGCCTGCACTGCAGGGTGACAGAGCCGGCCGCCTGGGTCCCACGGTCATGCTCCCGACCCACCCCCCTGGCCACAGCCCCCCTGGCCTGTTAGGTCAGGTGGCTCCAGCCCCAGGCCTCACAGGGCCCAGGAGCAAGCGCAGGCTCTGAAGGGCAAGGAGCTGGGGACACCAGCCGCTGGGCCCTGGGACTGCGAAGCTGGCCCCTGAAACTGGAGCATTCGGGAGAGGGAGTCCTCCCACCAAGGCCCCCAGTGTTCCAAAGTGGCTGCACCCATCACTCAGATGTTAAGGGCCTTCTTTGCTCCCATGAGAAAAAAGGGCAGTTCCCATGTGGGGGAGAGCGGAGAGGATTCTGGGGACATTTTTAAAGGCCCCAAAGAAAGCCCAGAGTTGGGTGAGCTCATAATTTCCCATTTGCTTAGCCAATTGATTACTTGGTTTTGTCTTTTGCAGTCTGAAGACCCTTGACTAATACACCAGGTTCCTAAAACATTTAAATAAATATTCTAGGGTTAAGAGGGAGGAGGAGGAAGAGGAGGAGGAGGAGGAGGAGGAGGAAGAGGGAGAAGAAGGTTGGCTTTTCTGTCTTTTTGAATGCTAAAATGCATGATTTCCCATTTAGGCAAAGCAATATTCATTCTTTCACGCATCAGACATGGACCAGGCTCCAAGCCCAGTAGCGCTAGGACACAAGGATGACCCAAGAGATGGCTCTGGGCTCTGCCGTCACCAAGCCACCAAGTCTGGAGAGACGGGAATGAAAAGCAGTCCCTGACAGGACGCAGGGCTAAGCTACCCAGGAGGGCCAGAGGGGAGCAAGCTCTTGGGAGGTGGTTCTGTTCTGAGCTGGGGGAGGGGGGCAGTCTGTGTGGAGACTGATGTCCCCAGGGGCCCATCGATCCAGCCCCTGCATCAGGGGATCCCTGATAGCACCTGAGCCGGGTCACCGCCCTCAGGTGCATTTCCTGTGTTTACCAAACACGCCGAGGTGCCAGGAGCTATTTTAGGCAACGAACACATCAGACAAACCCTTGCCCTGGTGCAGCCCAAAGCCCAGTCAGGGAGAGAGATAATAAACAGGAGGAAGCAGTAAAATATGTCACATGTCACAACAGAAGAAGGGGTTACGGAGACAAAGGAAGCTGACGGGAGGGGAAGGGGACGGAGTGAGGTGGCACATCTCAGTAGGTGGGCAGGGACAGCTTTGCAGAGAAGGTGGCATCTAAGGATCTGAGGGAGGTGAGAAAGACAGGCAAAGATACGCGAGGGGACAGCAAATTAGGCCAAGGGACTCGCAGAACCCAGGGCCGTGCAGGGTGGGGGCTGTGGGGGTGGGGACAACCGGAGATGGGATGGAGCCAGGCTGGGCTTTGAGCTGGAACCTGGTGCAGCAGGGGGCTCAGAGCTGGGGAGCCCAGGCAGGGGGCAGGGGCTGGGCCCAGGCGGGGGCAGGGGGCTGGAGAAGACTGCGATTCTGGATGAGTTTTGCAGGTGGAGCTGACAGTCTGCTCTGGATCCACTTGTGAATGTGAAGGCAGGAGAAGGGTCAAGGACAAGCCCTCAGAGCCACCAGGAGGATGGAGCTGCAGAGGTGGGGACAGGCCGGGGGAGGGGACGGGTTTGTGAAAGCATGGGCCCTGGGCCTCTGTGTGCTCTCAGGAGCCCCCAGCATGGCCTGATGGCACCTTCTGGGACACCGAGTCTGGTGATAACTGGCCTTTGCCTTCTTCTAAGAGGAGCCCCGTGAGGCCACACCCAGGCTGGGGCCTGCTTGGGTACCCACAGGTCTGAACCAGGGAAGGCAGGACTTCCAACAAGCACCTGCCCTGCTGAGGACCTACTGTGTGCCTGGCATTATGCCCACACTCTCCCTGCCCCGCCATCAACCCAGGCCTCGTAGCCACCAAATCACTGCCATTTTAAAGACGGAGAGGCTTAGAGAGATGGGCTGGCACACCCAACACCACCCAGCCAGTGAGCAGCAAGGACAGGGCGGAAACCAGGCCCGCCTAGTGACCACTTCCATGCCCATCCAACCAGTCGGGGGCGGGGGTTAGCCCAGGAAGGATACTCGTGCCCGGGGACACACAGCAAAGAACTGGGGGAACCAGGATCTGAACCCCAGACGTGCCGACCTTCAGTCCCCGCTCCATGTGGACGGGGCCTGACCCTTCCCTGGCTGCACTGGACTGAAGAGCTGTCTGGCTGGTCTGGTGTCATGATGGCCTCTTGCCGGGGCGTGGTGCCCCTCTCCTCGGGGTGGTGCCCGAGGCTCCCTGAGCTCTGAGACCAGAACAGAGTTTGGGACAGCAAGGCAGGGGCGGTGGGGTGGAGGTGGAGTCTTACTTTTAAACGACGCCTCACTGTTCCAGAAATTTCCAGCCAGTGTGGGGTTTGGGAAAAAAGGAGTGAGTCCCTGGACGGGTGTGGCGGGAGGTGTGGGGATCGGGGGAGGGGAGGGGGACAGAATGCCGCGTCCGGTTATTTTTAAAACCACAGTCTATGCGCCGAGTCTCACTCTGCAATGCTTTCTTCTTGTTTATATTATTTTAGGCCAAAAGTGCGTTCCGGGTCGCCTGGTGGGCCTCCTGCATCGACGGACCGAGGTGGGAAATCCACCAAACAAGGCAGGGATGCGGGGGTGGGGGGGTCTGGAAACCGGCCAGATCCAGGTGACTGTCCAGCTGAAGGCCCAGGACAGCCTGGCTCACCTCGGTGATCTATCCTTGTGCTATTTATTAAGCCAAGATGTCCCGAGTGCCTACTGTGCGCCAAGCACTGCCTGACCAGTAAACAGAATGCCCCTCCCGCCTGGAGCACACCAGGAGTGGGAGCAGGAGGTGGGTCCACGAGGACAGCGGGAGTGGGACATCGGGGGGAGCAGGGGAGCCCCCACAGGCTGGAGCCCAGAGAGTGCCGGAGGCCAGGGGGAGGTGGGGGGGACTGAGTCCCACGTCCTGGGAGCCCAGGAGCCTGTGAGGTGGGTACTTCATCCTGCGACCCCCGGGGCTTTCTGCAAGGGCCTGATCTCATGTCTCTGCCAATGAGTGGTCTCGGGTAAGTCGGTTCACCTCACTGGGTGCCAGGTTCTCACACCCCACACAAAACTCTGGACCTATGACAACTCCCAGCCCGTCATAGGCCTGTTGGGTAAAGATTGTGGTTGGGACCTGGCAGAGGTGACCCTTTACCATGGCAACGAATTCAGCAGTTCCTTGACACACAATAGACGGTAGGAGTCACCCACAGTGGCCACCCAGGCTGCCTGGGTGCAAGTCACAGCCCTGCCACCTACTAGCTCTGTGACCTGGRGTAAGTCCCTTGGCCAAAATGTGCCTCGGTTCCCCCCTACAAACAGGGGCGCTTGGGAGGACTGAAGGAACGGATTCGAGCTGGGTGCAGCAGCRCACGCCTGTGATCCCAGCAGCTCGGGAGGCTGAGGCAGGAGGATCTTGAGATCACAGCCAGCCTCAGCAACKTATTAAAGCCCTAAGCAACTCAGCGAGACCCTGTCTCTAAATAAAAAATAAAAAGGGCTGGGGACCTGGCTCAGGAATTGAGTGCCCCTGAGTTCAATTCCTGGTACCAAAAAAAAACTGATCCGGTCCAGCCCCAAGGTGCTCGCCTGACCCAGGCAAACATCACCTAAGTGCCCRCCAACAGAGGGGACGCTGATGCTGGCTTTTTGGGTCTGGAACTTCATTATGGCTCTTGGTGTGAACTGAATTCTTTAAGAAATCTGAGGCGGCCTGAGGATGTGAAAACACACTTCCCAAGCAAGCCCCCCTTTCTTTYGGCTGCCCTGGGGTCCCACAAGGCATTAGGGCAGGTTCACTCCCCCATCCCACAGTCCGTTTCTGAATCTCCTGAGTGCTGTGGCGGGCACCCCGAGGGCCTGCAGCCATGGCTACATCCGGCCCAGGTGAGCCACTCTGGGCCCATCATCACCAGCTGTGTCCTCTCAGTACTCATTTCCCACGTCTGGAAAATGGGCAAAGAGTAGCCTGAGCAAACCTCGCTCTCCTGCCTCCTAGGGGAGCTAGAGGATCCCTGAATTCCCACTGTGCCTCCAGAACATGTGCTGACCAGGCCCGACGGCGCAACGTGGCCCACGGGAGCTCTGCGGTCTGAGACTACCTACATGACGGAGCCTCAGTTTCCCCATCTGTAAACTGGGGAGAATCACAGTCCCACCCTCACAGGGCTGCTGGAAGAGGCCACGGGATGGCATGTCGGTGAATACACGAAACCCAAACAAGAAAATGAACCACACTTTTTCCTACTGGGAGAGATGCACCCTGATATCTTCTAATCACTTTTAAAAAGTGGGAGTTTCCAGCTCCCTGATTTAAATCCCTCGTGCACTCAGGGGTAAGCCATTTGGAGCCTGAAAAACACTGGGTTGGACAAGGGACGGACTTATTAAAACATGCCTGGGACCACAGCTGGCACTCGATACAAATGCACTCTGATCATTAGCATTTCCGCGTGCACCGATACGTTCACTCAAAAATACTTTTATTGAGCCACCGTCCCCGCAGGTTCCTCCAGGGCCCCCCAGAGGGTCCCGGCTGCTGGACTCACCTGGATACAGCGGCTCCTGGTCACTCCTGAGTAGAAGAGTCACTGCAGAGAAGGCGGAGGTGAGGGCAGGCAACAGGGGCCGCAGGGCCAGGGGGGGTCAGAGGCACAGGGACCACTCTCACCAATGGCCCAGGACGCTGCCCCGATGCCCGTCAGGAGGAGGAGGGTCCCCACAATGAGAGCTGCCACCTTGGGTCCGGAGCAGCATGGCACAGTCCGGCCACCTGCAACAGACACCATGCTGGGCCACTGCCAGGCCTGTCCCCGTTGCCGCAGGGTCCAGGCACCGGGCCAGCTGCCCTGCCCCCCAGGGCTAACTTGTCACCACTGAGCCTGCTGTGCCCTGGGCCATTTCCTGGGGCCGAGCAATGGGCAGGGCGGTCCCTCCCTGGCCAGGTGGACAACCAGGTGTCCAGCTCCCCAAAGGCTCCAGCTGGGGAGGGGCCMCGGCTGGGCCTGCTGCCACTACCCTGGCACTTTTCTGGCTCTTAGAGGACTCCTCCTCCCAGGTGACACTGAGCTTTGGCATTTCTGTCGTCACTTTGTGCCCCCTGACCTCTCTCTTCGGCTGACTTTTCCAGGGGCTCCTGCAGCATCGGGGCTCATGACGCTGATTTCCCCCTCCCCTGTTGCTTGGGAGACCCCCCCCCAGCCCCCAAACCCAATGTGGTCCCTGGAAGTTGAGAACTGAAGTTTGGAAAGTTGCCAGCCTCGCTCTTCTGGCTGGAATCTTGGGCAAAGCACCATTTCTTTGAGACTCGGTTTCCTCATCTGTTCAGCGGGCATCCACCCAGCACCCACTTCTAAAAAGCAACACTTTAAAGTCCTTTTAAATAATACTGAGCCAACTCATTTTATGCGGTGCGCCAGGCACTGTTCTAAACACATCAACTATTCAGTCTGCGTATCAGCCCTGCATGGCGATGCCCACTTTTCCTACGGCTCAGAGAAGTCGAGTCACATGCCCACCATGACTCAGCCTGCAAGAGRCAGAGCTGAGATCTGAACCCTGGGCAGACTGGGTGCCAGATCCAAAGTACATAATCACGAAGCCTCTCATGGTGTCACTGGCATACAGCAAGTGCTCAGTACTTGCTTGATACCTCATTAGAGTTTTGTGGTCCATGCAATGCCCTTCACCCCCCGAGCCTCTGTTTGCTTGGGCAAAAGGGAGCTTGAGCCTTCCTCTGTCTTACTGAGCATCCTCTGTGTCCTTAGTACCACTCTAGGCTCTGGGAGCAGAGGTTAAGACAGACAGGCAAGAGGATGGCTCTCTCGGGGTGTGAGTTGGGAGCGGGGATGCCCACAACTAAACACAAACCTGATAATTTCCAGATTGTGGCAAAGGCTATGAGGAAAATAATGGAGGTGGGGGGCTTCTCAAGGGGGATGAGGCTCCCGAAGAAGAGACTTTGAGCCAGGTGCAGTGTTGCACACCTGTAATCCCAGTGGCTCAGGAGGCTGAGAAAGGAGGATCCCGAGTTCAAAGCCAGCCTCAGCAACTTAGCAAGGGCCTAAGCAACTCAGTGAGACCCTGTCTCTACATAAAATACAAAATAGGGCTGGGGATGTGGCTCRGTGGTCGAGTGCCCTGAGTTCAATCCCTGTTAAGAAGAAGGAGAAGGAGAAGGAGGAGAAAAGACTTTGGAGCTAGACCAGAATGCAAAGGCAGCCATGCAAGGACATTAAGGAACAGCATGGTGGGCAGAGGGAACAGCATGGGCAAAGCCAGGAGGCAAGAASAAGCTCACTGTGTTAGAGGGCTAGAGAGGCCCTGGAGGAGGCCAGAAGGGTACAGGCTGAGGGAGGGCAGTGGGAACCAAGGCCCGGGCCAGCTAGGGAGGCCTCGTGGCCCAGAGGAAGGAAGAACTGTATTTCCAGTGCACAGAGATCCTGGAGATCCAAYGCCAACTCGCCCGCTAGGGATTCTAGGAGGACCAAAGGAAAAAGACCACTAATGGCCCTGCCCTGGCCCTGTCTTGGGCTCCGCTGCCAGAAAGTTCTCACAGGGATTCAGAGCTCCCAGCTCCCTCGTCCGTGTCTGGGTGGCATGTTGGTGGGCAGAGTGCCAGGTCAGTACCCGGAACAGAGCCGGGAGTGGCCCAGGACCTTCCGGGGGGAGTCACTGTTTGGGTGGCTTGAGAATCTGAGAGCCCCGCGGCTCCCACCAGCATCAGGAAATGCTGCATCCCTCCAGGAGGCCATGGGCAGAGGCCACCCAGCTYAGCCCCTGCCTGTCCTGGTGACGGGTGGGGAGGGCTCTCGGGCCTGTCCCCAYGCCCAGCTCGGCCTCTGACATCTTCCTGGTTCCAGGGGAGTGTCTTGGCTTCCTGCATCTACAGGCTCCGGGCCCTCTGTCTCGGGGTGTGCCTGCCAGGGCTGCAGTCTACGCAAGACCTAGAGGCTCTGATGCATCTGGGTGGGGGGACAGCAAGCAATGCCACCTGTGTCTCCTAGGGTGACAAGAAAGCACCTCCTTCCATGCTAGGACTTTGAGCACCTCCAAAACAGGTCCCTCTGGTGGGACAGGCTGCGTCCTCACCTGGGTCCCCTGGTGAAAGAGACACCCTTCCTGGGTATCTTTGCTGGGACAAGATGCTCTCTGCTCCTGCCACTGAGAGGTGACATCCTCAACATCACAATCTCTGGAAGCTATGGGGCTTTGTGCTCCRCGGGTCAGGCCTCTCCTGCACCCACTGTTCCCTGAGACTCTCTGCTCTGTTTCTCGGGGCGTCCCCCAGCGGTCCCCCAGCTTCTCGCAGGACGGTTCTGCCTCCACCAAAGGTGACACCTTTGAATCTGAAYCTGTCGAAACCCCTCTCTTACATGACCTGGACCTCCTGCCTGATGCCCCCTCTTTGGAGACCACACACACACTGTGTTCCCGGGACCCCTCCAAGGCTCTGCTCCAGGCTCTCTGTCCACTCCCTGGAATCCAGATTCCTAAGATGGCCGCGAGCTCCTCCCTCTCTCTCCTCCTGCCTCTGTGGCCTCGGGTTGCACTCTCTGTCCTCAGCCCTGGACTGTGTTCTGAGCCCCGGGTCAGGGGTCCTGCAGCCTCTTGGGCATCTTCCCCTGAARCCCCCTAGTTTCTTCTCACCCCCCAGGTCCCATAGGGCCCCAAGGCCTCCCCAGATCTCTTCTTCCTCCCAGGTCCCGAGGCCCTCCTCCCCAGGACTGGCCCTCAACTGCAGGACACTGGCCAGTTCCTCCAGCCTGGCCAGTCCTCCTAAGTGACCCTCCTGTCCACCCTTCCTTCTCTTCCCCTGGTCCCGCCTCAGTTCAGCCCCATCCAACCACGGAGCTCTGTCTCCCCTTCTGGTCCCTCTCCACAAGAAAGCCTGGGAAACCTTCCTAAAATACCAAATCCAACCCGTCCCTTCTTAATCTAGAACCATCCATGACTCCCTAGTGCCCCCCCAAGAACGGAGGCTAAGTCCCTCAGCCGGACATGTCCAGCCCTGTAGGATATAAGTGTGGCTTTTTGAGACTTGAGGGTTGGATGTGTTTCCCCAAATTCCAAGCAGTGCTCGGCTCCCTATCGGACACCTCCCAGAGCTTCCTAGAGCCAGGGGAGCACAGAACTTACACCACCAACTAGAGGCACGAAGCRTTGCCGCCAGCGCCACCTTGTGGAGAGACCCAGCACTGACAAGGAATCCCCTGCTCCTGACCCAGCGGGGACAGAGCCTGGTCCGGTGGCAGCACTCATCTCCCCCACAGCTTCCTTTCCTTCGTCACCTCCAGAAACACCAGCACTAGCTGCGCTCRCTGTGCCGCGGGGCAGTCTGCCACCCGGGCCCAGCACTTTCTCCTGAGGGACAGAGAACTGGTTCACTCTGAATGGCAGCTGAATGGTTGGGATCTGAGGGTCTGAGTGGCTATCTACACTGAGACTGAGACCTGAGGAGGCCTGAGTCTGGGCTAGTCATGTCAGCCAGTACCCTCACRCCATGCCGTAAGGTATATGAATGCCATCTCCATTTTACAGAGGAAACTGAGACCCAGAGAGGGTAAGCTATTTGYCCAGGGCCACACAGCTAGAAAGCGCTGCTGTCTGGGCCTGAATGCAGGTAGCCTGGCTCCAGGAAGAAGAGGAGGAGTCAATCCCAACTGGGGCAGGGTTGGAAGAAAAGACTGCCCTTTCAGCTGGGTCCCCAAGTGTGGGAGAGGCTGAGAGGGAGGCGGGCTGCCTAGAGCCCTTGAATGCCATCCACTCCGCGGGGTGGCTTCTCTCCAGCATCCCCAGGGTGACTTCTCAGCTCCTCTTCTCTCTCCATCCCTCTGGGCTGAGTCCAAAGTCCTCCCTCTGCTCTTTTGCCCACAGAGCCAGGCGGCAGGAGGAACGTGAGGACGCACTGGGGGGCCTGAGTCCCTGGGACTCCGAGTCTTCCAACCTCTGTTCCCACGGCTGCTGTTTATGGCACGCGTCTTACATCCTGAGCCCCCATGCGGGTGCCTGGTGTGTTCCCTGCTCCCTGTTAGCTCAGGGAGGGAGTATTGGACCCACACTTGACCCCGGGGGCAGGGGAAAGGGAGACTGAAGTGCAGAGAAATGCTGTCAGTTGCACAAGACCACACAGCAGAAAAGTGGCCCGAGCAAATTCAAGTGCAAGGCCCCGTGTGTTTGACCTTAACATCTGGGCCCTTAACCACGGCAGCAGAGCAGCGTCCTGTCCCCATGTCACCATCCCCCCAGTAGAGGACAGTCTCAGGGTGAGCTGAGAAATCACTGGGGGTGAGGGGAAACTGAGGCAAGGTGCCAGGAAGGTCATCCGGGGTAGCAGGGAGCCAGGGGGTGGCACAAGTGCACAGAACACGGAGTTAATGGTTAATCAGGTGGACGAGGCTGCAGAAGGGGGTGGGGACGGGCCTGGGAGGGGGGACCAGAGATGGGGGCTCCATGGGGGCGGAAGGTTGAAGAGAGAGCACAGCAGAAGGGCACCAGGCAGAGCCCAAGTGGGGGCTCAGGAAAGGGGGGGACTCACCCTCCTTCTCGGCCATGTCACAGCCTCTTGTTAATGATTCCCCGGCTGACCTCCTGGGCCGGGGTGGGACCTGTGGGGAGATGAACAGGGAGGCAGGGCCTGGGGGAGCCCAGCCCAGCCCAGCACTGGCGCCCCCAGTCCCAGGCGTCCATCCAGGGAAGCTGGAGGGACTGGGCTCTGGCCAGAGCATGCCATGATCACGGACTCACATTGGGCTGGGTTCAAGGATGGGGTCAGTGTCTGACCAGTGCCATGGGGACTCCTGGAATTGAAGGGCTGAGGACCCCCAGGCCTGAGCCTGGGGTGCAGGGGTGTGGGAGCCAGGTGGCCAGGTGTGATGGACCCGGATGGGAGGGAACTGGGATTGGAACCCATGGGGTCTGAGGGAAGAGAGGGCRGAGGGGAAGCAAGAATTTGAGGGCTGGACTCCAGAGTCTGGACATGGAGAAACCTGGGGGCCCCATCTCCAAGTCTGATGGGAGAGCGTGCTGGAGTCCTGGGTCCTTGGGAAGCAGTCCAACAGTCATATTTGGGGTCCTTGGGAGCCCCTGGATGGGGCGTGGGCATCGAATTGGGTAGAGGCGAGGGGACCCCTGTCCTCAGGATGGGAACTGAGTCTGGGGTCCCTGGTCCTTACCCTGGGGTCCAGCAGGTGRGGGAAGAGCCTCGAGATGGTGCGGTTGGGGGTCAGTCTCCAGGCCGGGGCAGCGGCATGGTGGCCCCGCAGCGGGCGGCCCGGGAGGCAGAGGCGGTGGCGGCGGTGGCGTGGGGCCTGCTAGGCCAGGCGGCCTCACCTGAGGAGCAGGGGGCTGGGCGGGAGGCGGGGGAAGGGGCGGGGAGGGGCCGGGCCCGGGGATTGGCAGCCCCAGAGGCCACCTGGCTGGTGGGGCCGGGCGGACAGGGGCTGGACCAGGCCGCCCCAGCAAACCCGCCGGACTGGAGCTGCACAGGGGCGCAGGGGCGCGGGAGCGAGGCGGCCGGGGGTGACGGCCCCGGGTCCGAGGGAACCAGGTGGAAGGGCCTGGTGTCCCAAGCCCACTTGGCCACTGCCACTTCTCCTGCCCCGCCCATCCCCTGTCCCTCTCCCGGTTCCCGCCTCAGCCCCCTCCCTTTTCGGAGCCCCTTTCCGTCCCCTCACCAACACCTGTCGCCTCTACCCCTTCCCTGTCCCGGGCCCAGGGCGGCCTCTGGCCTCTGCCGCATGGTCCTGCTGCTCCCGCCAGCCCCCTCCCCCAGCTGCTTTCCTACAAGTCACGGGGGCTCGTTTGCTTTGGCAGCCGCCCTGCCGCCTGCCGCGGTGACCTCTGGAGCCCGGAAAGTCCTAGGTAGGGGGATGGGGGCTTGGCCTGGAAAAGGCTACACTGAGTGCTGAGGCCCAGGCCAAGTGGCCGGAAGTGGCCAGAGCAGATACACGCTGTCCCGCCAGCAACCAAGAGCCATCCACGTCAGACCCCAGGCCAGATCAACACCCAGACGGGCCAGGTCGCCAGCAGCCACTTGCCAGTGTCAGACCAGGACGGCTCACCCCAGATGGGTCGTCCCCGCACAATTAGGTCCACCTGCTCACCCTCACAGGCCCCCTGTCCAGTCCAACCCACAGACCCCAGCCGCGGCCCTGCCCAGCGGACACTGGTTTCGCCTGCCTGGGGCTGGCCCCCAATCTCTCTCCCTGCACCCCCAAGGCTCAGAGGCTCCTCCTTGCTGGCTCCGGCTTCCTCCCCCGCCTCTCAGCCCCCACTGAGCTAACAACTCCCCTCCACCAGGCTTTAATCAAGTTCTAAGTGGCTCCACAGGCTCCCCACTGGGTCCCTAACTCCCTGAGGTCCCCGCTGCCTCCTGGGAGGGAGGATCCCGGGGCCATCTAACTTGGGGGGCCCCCGGCAGAGCGGGTGCCTGGGCTCACTCACAAGACAGACGGGGAATCAAGTCCAAGAATCTTTATTTCATGAACAAAACTACTTCTGTAAAGAGAGACGAGGCAGAATGGGCCCCTTTCTAAGTGGCCACGATCCAAGGCTGGTGAGAGAGGGCGGGTGGGGCCGGGGCGAGAGTGCATCACAGGGACAGGGGACCCCAGGTCCAGCCGGAGGAAGCAGGAGGGGAAATGATGCTGGGGTCGCAGTGGGTACCAGAACCACCTGCCCCAACTGTTCCAGCCCATCACGACCCCTCCCCCAGGGCCGGGCAGGGACGGGCAGGGACAGGCTGGGCCCAGCAGTGCACGTCCAAAGCGGCCGATGTGTGCAAATCAGCAAGAAGAAGGGGTGYGGAGCCGCTGCCCCCGCCTCACCGACCCCTCCCCAAACAGGCAGCAGAAGCGGGGGGAGGGGCAGCGGCAGTATTGCTTTACCCATCATGCATGGCGGTGGGTGGGCAAGGGGCAAGAGGAAGAAGGCCGAGTTGGGGTGTGAGCCGAGCCAGTCCCCCTGCCCCCTCCCTCCCTGGCGGCTCTGTTGGCAGGACTCGGAGGCTCGTGGAGGCCCAGGAATGGCCAGCCCCCTCGGGGGGCAGGCTGTCCCCCAGCCCGAGGCGGAGCCCAGGACCTAGAGGGGAGGGAGAGATAGGGAATTAGGGACCCAGCAGGCCAAAACTCTGGGGGACCCYGAGTCCCTGTCCACCGGCCTTACCAGGGCTATTCGGCCACCTGGACGCCCGTACAGTTCTCTTTGCTTTCAGAGGTGATGGCCAGGTACTCCGAGCTGTGGGGGGGAGGCCAGGTATACAGTGACCTGATCACCAGTCTGGCCCCCCTCCCAGGAGAATGAGGAAGGTTGAGGCCTTGGCCCCTGAGTTAGAGGGGAGGGGGCTGTGGGCCGGACTCCTGAGTTTAAGGGAAGAAGGATYTGGAAGCTCACAACATGCTCCGGCTCTGGGGAGCACAGACAGGTGGCACCCTGGCTTGCTCTCTTGCCCCCCACCCCTCCCATGCAGCTCACACCCACTCCAGGAAGTCTGGAGGTGCCTCGGTGGCCTTGGCCGTCCCCTCCCACCCCACTCACGCATTCTCTTGCGCAGCAGCCTCCGTGGCAGCCGCGATCTTCTTATAGCAGTAAACCATCTCGGCCACGAGCCATATAGTCAGTACCACGATGAGCACGTACATCATGATCTCAGACACGATGGACGCCATGTCTCTGTTGGCTGCGGGGACCAGGTGGGGTTCAGGTGGCAGCTGAGGCACCTGTCTCCACCTCAGGAGACAGGACACCTCCAAGTGTGTGGCGCACTTGCTGTGTGAGCTTGACCAAGTGGCTTGACCTCCCTGGGCCTGGGCCACACACAGGACCATCATGTTGCTTCCCCAGAGTCCTCGCTGTTACTCTGATTAACAACGAGGCTCAGACGGGCCTGGGGATCCCCCTCAACTGCCTCCCTGTGGAACTTCAGGGAGCATCCACCACTCGAAAGGCTTGGGTTCAAACCCTGGCTTGGCCCCTTGTCCGCTGTGTGACCTTGGGTAAGTGACTCAACCTCCCCGGACCTCCATTTCCCCATGTGCAAAATGTCCATAACCACAATACCTCCACGGAAGTGCTGTGAGAATTAAATAAGCTTTAAAGATGCTTAGACTAGTCCTCGACCTATCAAGACACTCAAAAAAAAGTCATCATTATTATGATTATCACTGTTACAATTGGGGCAGTACTGCGTACTGCTTAGGAGCAGAGAGTCCAGACACAGACAGCCAGAGTGCAAATCCTGCCTCTTACTAGCTGTGCAACCTTGGGCCAGTGACTCCACCTCTCTGAATCTTGATGCCCCCTCTGTAGAATGAGGATGATACTAATACCCTCTCCGGAGGTTGCCAGGAAGAGGAAATGAGTTAACACCCCTCCCTGCCATGCTTGGAGGACTTGCAAAACCACCGCAAAATGTTGGCTACTTTCCGGAAGCCCTACATCCTTGCTGCAGCGCTGGCCCTGCCTCAGCCAGCTTCCTTTCATGGAGCCTAAATTTAAACTGCAAAGGGAACACATTCAGCCAGGGGACCAGAGTCACAGGTCACTTTGGCGTCCTCAGCCGGATATCACAGGTGGCCATGCACATCCCTGGTCCCCTCCTGGGTGGCCGGGACCTCCCCCCCCTCCTCCTGGGGTCTTCCTCCCTGAGAGCCCGGCCCCTGCTCCTCCACCCTGTGCAGATGGCCCTGAGACTTTCTGGGCCAGAGGAGGGAGGGGGCGGGCTGGACGCTCCCCTCCCCCCCACCCCCTGCAGGGGAGCCTGGGGGAGCTTCCAGCACTCACCCAGGTCCAGCAGGATGGCCTGCTCCTGGCCGGGCTCTGCGCTGCTTTCATCTGAGCGCCTCCCTGGCCCCCGGGAAAGGCCCCCAGGCTGGGGTTCCCAGGCTCCCCATGGCAGGAACCACCTGAGCCCCTCACTGTCTGGATCTCCCCCCTGTTCCTGGAGCTCTGTGCCCACGAAGATCTAGGTTAACCAGGCACCAGCCTTCCCTCTCCCAGTCAGATTGGGACGGGGAAAGGCACAGTCTGTAGCCCCCCTCCAGACCAGGCTGCTGAGGCCCAGAGAAGGACAGGTGCTAGGCCAAGGGCACACAGCTACGCTGGGACTCGGAGCCAGGAGCCAACCTCCAGTGGAACCAAACGCAGGGCTAGAGCTCCACTCTGTAACCCTTCCGCGACCAAAGAGGGGGTCACAGCTGCTGTGCACCAACACGGTCTCCACGAACCCCTGCGGACATCTCAGGAGAGGGGCGGGACTGCCACTGGCCCACTTTACAGATGAGGAGCCAAGGCAAAGAGTCACACAGAGGGCCAGAGGCACCTTCTCTGGGGAAGCCTTTGATCTCTTAAAACACCCCTGCCCACACAGGGGGCCCCAGATCTGAAGCCCTGGTGCAATTCTGCAGGCCACATGGTCCCCAGTTTGGTTTTGTTTTTGGTACCAGGAATTGAACCCAGAGGTGCCTAACCACTGAGCCACATCCCCAGCCCTTTTTTTGTATTTTATTTAGAGACGGGGCCTCACTGAATTGCTTAGCACCTTGCTAAGTTGCTGAGGCTGGCTTTGAACTTGCGATCCTCCGGCCTCAGCCTCCTGAGCTGCTGGGATCACAGGCCCAGCCCGCAGCCCCCTCCTTTGGACCTGACTCGGTTCATTCCTCAGGGGCCACTACCAGGAGGCAATACAGGTTGATCGCTAACCCTGAAAGTGCAGCAAGACAGAAAGCAGGAATGATTTTTAAGACATGGGACGGCCGGGAATGCCAACAATACAGAGATATCATCAGTAATGGAAAAACACTACAGCAGGGTCATCATGTTGACTCTAGCACCGTGGGTAGTGCTGAGCGCAGGGCAGCACCACAGGTGATACTGAACAGTACTACAGGGTCACCGGAAATGTCTTTAAACACCAGAGCACAGCACGGTGGACAAGGACGACAACACGAGATCACGGTGGGAAATGTCCCACAGACTCTGGCATGATCGAGAGTGACAAGAAATGTGCGGTCCAGCCGGGCCTGGTGGTGCGTGCCTGCAGTTTCAGCAACTCAGAGGCTGAGGCAAGAAAATGGCAAGTTCAAGGTCAGATTCAGCAATTGAGCAAGACCTTCTGCAATTTAGTGAGACGCTGTCTCAAAACAAAGAAATAAAAATAAAATAAACATTTAAAAAAGGACTGGGGATGTGGATGAGCAGTAAAGCATCCCTGGGTTGAACCCCCAGTACCAAAAGAAAAAAAAGAAGCAAACAAATCCCCCCAAAAAACAGTATCATAGAGAGTACAAAATAAAATCCTGGGGGTGGGGGATGTAAAAAGCCATACTCTAATAGGGTGGATAGGGAGCACTAGAATACGGTGTTAATGCTGAAAACATGGACTTCCAGAAGGCAGCACAAAGGACTCTATGTTGTGTTAAATATTGTTAAAATCGTAGGCTCTGGGAGGCGGCATGATAGAGTAGATAATTTGAGGAAGAGCACTGTTCCCAGGGCATGGGTGGACCTGTGCTAAGCAGGTGAGGACAGCTCTGTAAGCAAGGGTCCATGGCCAAGATGGAAAAAAACAGGAGTCAACATTTCCTGGAGGCTCCCCACCTGCCTCCCCCTCTCCTTGGCACTGATTCCTGGTAGAGGAATAAGCCAGGTTTTGTAGAGGCCCGGAGGCCGGGCGTCTTTGTTAGACTCCTGTGTCACTGTGACTCCATCTTTCATGTCCAGGGCTGACCACCCACCCCACACTGTGACGTGGGCCACCGAGTGGCTCCCGTACATCTTCTGAATTGCCTTCTGCTGATCCGCTTGGATAGGAAACGTAAAAATGCTAATTATATAAAGAGTCCCGCAGGCTCTGGCTGACGAGGGAGTGCGGTGATTCATGCCAGGAGCGGCTGGGTTCAGAAACGATCGTCACCCAGGAGAGGCTGGGTTCAGATCCAGGTCCTGACTCTGTCACCTGTCACCTTGGCCGTGAGATCTTCCCTCCCTGAGCCTCTGCTTTCTCATCTGCAAAATGGGGGCATAAGAACCCCTGGCCCCGAGGGTGGGCGGGAGGGCTCAGGGAGGCATGCAGGCCAGCAGGTCTCCTGGAGAGGGAGCTCGATGCGTGCAGACCGTGAGGCTGTGTGTGCTGCGGTCCCAGGGGACGGACTTGCCGTGGCTCTTTGCTGGCTCCAGGCCTAAAGTAGCTTCCTGACTAAGCCAGTGAGCCACAGGGCCCTGGAAAATTCCAACTCATGCCAATCAGAGCACGGGCCAGAGAAGGGGTGGAGCCCCCACAGAGCGGGGGTCTCAGGCAGCTGAAGCGGAACCCTAGAGACGGTGGACAAACCCCGGAGACCCTGCTGCCCACACTGGGGCCCCCAGCCCTATGGCACCCGCCCCCCACTTTCGAAAACGCACTAGAGACGACTGTGGGCCCACCCAGATCTGCTGAGTCAGGCCAGGCACCTGAGCAAGTCGCTGGTRGCATGTGGGGCGCTCTCCTCTGGGTGACGTCCTCTGCCAGGTCAGACCCAGGCAGGACCAAGGCTATGGGCCATCAGAACCCGACCCTTGTCCTCCAGCACTAGGCCCCACTGCGAGCCAGGTGCAGGACAGCAGCAGGTCTCCAGCCCCGTGCTCAACCCTCATAACTCCCAGGACATAGGAATGGCTCAAAGGACACCCCCCAAGGGGGGCACTCCTATCATCTCAGAGAGGACCCTGTGGCCCAGAGACAAGAAGGTACCTGCAGGAGGTCACACAGCACAGGCCACCAAGCTAGGTTTGGTACCTACAATGTCTGTGGGGAGGAGCCTACTGTGACCTCTCCGGTGGGGTGAGGGGAAGTGGAGTCCAGAGCTGGGGGGGCCGCACAGGGGGACGGGGGGGGGGGGACAGGCACAGACATGGACACGACGCTCCCGCTATTGCTGTGGGCGGTTGGCTGGCCCAGGCACGGAGCCAGCCCGGCCCCTATCCGCCATCTGTCCCTCCATCTGGCTCCCGGTGGGCCACGGGGCGAAGGGGCAGGCAGGGCCCACTCACCTTTGTCCACCACCTCAAGGTGGATCTTTTTGACAACGCTGGTGTTGTGCTCATAGTTCTCAAAGAACAGCAGGCGGTAGACATGGCATTCGTAGTCACCTGAGTGGTTGTAGGTGACATTGGTGATGAAGATGGACAGGTCCTGCAGGTCCTTGGTGCCCCGGCTGCCATTCCACACCACGCGGCCCTCGAAGCGCTCGTCTTCCTCCAGCTGCAGCACCTCGTTCTCGTAGCGCAGGATCTTGGGGGGAGGAGGCGGGGGTCACTGCCTGGGCCCGTCTCCCCCAGCCCCGTCCCTTGATTCTGTCCCTTGCCGTGACACAGATGGCACACACATGGACTCAGTCACCTTAACCTCGGGCCGGATGGATGCAGAGGGGCTGGGATCGCATCTGGGACGGCTGAGACCTTGACTTTGCCTCTAGTCCTGAGGTACATGCACCCTCCGTCACCCTCCCAAGCCCCTCACAGTCTGCCATCCTTCCCCAGCCTCTGGACACGCACTTCAGGCAGTGTCCAGAGGCTGGGGAAGGACACAGTGTCCAGCTGCTGTGGACCCCAGTTCTCTAGTGGTATCACATGCCCCCACCACAGGCAATTCCAAACACAGGATAAAGGATGTTAAAAAAAGAAGAAAAAGAAAAAAAGTTCTGTTTTTTCTCGATGATGACTATTCACAACATTTTTGCTGATGCCAAATAATTCCAGGGACCTTCATTTCATGCCAGTCATATGCCGACTGCATTTATCCCTCACACAGCTCTATGGGCAGGAGACCTCTGCCACCCCATCATTACAGAGGAGGAAACTGAGGCTCAGAGAGGCCCAGGGACTTGCCCAAAGGCACCAGCTGGTCAGTGGTAGAGCCAGAATTTGAATCCAGGTCATCACTCCTAGCCACATTGTTATTATTAAGACAAGCAATCAAACAACCCCTGCCTCCAGAGCCAGCCCCACCAACTCCGCACATGGTCACTTGCCCTCCCGTGCCCACCCCAGGCACCCACACACCTTGACAAACTCCTCAGTGCCCTTCTGGCGGAAGGTCCACTCGGTGAAGGTCTCTGCGGTGGTCTCACTTCGACGCTTGCACGAGATGCACAGTATTTTGAAGGTCATCCCATACACAGCCTCAGTCTCTGAGTCCACCTCCACACAGCCCCCCCAGGCCGAGGACACTGCGGGGACAGCAGGCTCAAGTCGAGCAGAGGCGCCGGTCACCCTAGGCGATGCCCGGCTCACTGGCTGCTGACTCCCAGGGCCTTCAGAAACCATCTGTTTCCCCTCAGGAGTGATTACAGATCGACGGACCCATGTGCCAAGCAGGTTCTGCCTCTCCCTCCCTGTGTGACCTTGGCCAATCACTCAGCTCTGAGCCTCAGTTTACCTCTCTGTTTAGTAAAAGAATTGTTCATCTTTGTTTCTAGTAGTTGTGCAGAATCCCTAAGGAGGTCCAGAAAACAGTTCTGTCAATGTGGTCAGTAACTCAACCTGTGCCACCCAACTACCCCTCACTCAGAAGGTCCCTTGCCCAAAGCACCAAAGCATCCATCCAGGTGGCGGGACGAGAATTCCAGCTGCTTTACAAGTTCAAGGCGGCAGAGCCATTTCCACCACCCGACTGCTGTGCAAAACCAGTCGTGGTTTAAGACAAGGGATGGCTTCAGCTCTGCTCCCTCCTCCCACAAGCCCCTGTGTGAGCCACCCCCTCTGTCCCCTCTGCCCCAGGCTTCCTCCCCTCCAGACCTCCACCCCATCAATTAGTTTCTCAAAAGCTCTTTCCTCCCTCAGGGCCTTGCACCTCCACTGTATCCAGGCTCTTTTGGTCCCTCCTTCCCCTCTTACCCGCCACCCCCTCCCTGCCTCCCAGTGCTCTCCAGCTTCAGGTCTGGGTCTTTTCCTGGTCCCTGAGTCTCCTCCTCTCTGTATCTTCAGGGATTCTCCTCTGCTCCCCTGATGTCTCGGTTTCCCTAGCTCCTCTTTGGGGTCTCTCTGAAGGTCCTGACTCCGTGACTTCCTCTCCTCTTTGTAGGCTCAGAGTCACTCTGTTAGGTCTCTGTAGCCACCTTTGGATATTTCTCCCTTTTTAAATTCCACCCCGCATTCTCTCTCAGGTCTGTCTCCATCTCCCTCCCTCATCTCCCCATCTTCTGCCTCTCTCAAGTTTCTCTCTCTACCTTGCTTACACACTTAACACACACTCTCTCTCTCTCTCTCTCTCTCTCTCTCTCTCTCTCACATCCCTTGGTCTCCCACTCTAGCCCCACATCCCCAGTCTCCCAGAGGAGCACTCGATGTCCTTCCATGTCTCTGGCCTCCTCCCTCCGGTCTCCATCTCTCCCTAGTCCCAGTCTCAGTCTCTAGTCCCAGTCTCCGGGAACCGCCTTCCCCCCCCCTCCCGCGCTGTGGGTGTCACATTGCAGCCTGCGGGGCTCTGGGAGCAGCTGACTCCGCGTTTCCTCGCCCCCGGCTGGGCGCCCGCAGCGGCGAGGCCGTGCCAACCGGGTCCCCGCCGGCTCTCGCCCACCGCGCTTCCACCGCCCTCCGGGGCCCCGCTCCCCGCGCGCACAACTTCTGAAGCGGACTTCGCGGGGCCGGGGGATGGGCAGGGGGCGGCCCTGGAGCGTCCGCCCGGCGTCCCGAGAGCGAATCCCGCAATCCCGCCAGTGCCCCGGCTGCGCCCCCAGCCGCGCGCGCCCCCAGCGCACTCACCCAGTGCCGCGCCGACCACGAAGGCCAGCAGCGTCCCCATCGCTGCGCTGCGCACGCTGCGCCCCCCTCCCGGGCCGCCGGTATTAATAGCGGGGAGAGCGGCGGCGGGCCCGGGCGGAGGTTCGAATGTCCCCGGGAGCGCGCGGGCGCAGCAGCTGCGGCTCTGGGACCGGCGAGGGGGAGGAGGGGGGGCGCGGCCCCCCCGCTCCGGTTACCGCCGGGGGCCCAGCCCCGGAGCCCGGCGTCCGGGCATCCCCGCCGCGCGAGCGGCGGCCGCTGCTCGGGCTGCTGCGCTGGCGCGCACAGCCGGGCGCATCCGCCAGGTGCACCGACCCCGGCCCGGCTCCGACTCGGCGCGCTGGGGCGCGGACAGCGGTCTCCTGCGCACTGCAGCGGCGGCGGCGGCGGCGACGGCGGCGGCGGCGGCCCGGGGAGGGAGGAGGGAGGAGAGGGAGAGGGAGGGGGCGGGATGAATCACCGCGGGGGGAGGGCGCGGCCGCCCAGCCTTTGCCGCAGCGGCCCGGGAGGCGCCCGCTGCGCTGGCCTCTCCGGTGGCGCAGGGACCGCAGCTTCTGGGCGCGGGGACGGTGGTCTGTGTGTCTGCGACCCCGCCCGACTCTGGGGATCCCTCATCTTCCGAGTCTGAGAAAGGTCACCTCCGGACACACAAGAGGACTTAGCGGGCAGTTTGGGGAACGGACGGGCTCTCCAAATTATGGATGGAGGTCATGAGGATGAGTTCATGAGTTCGAGGGGGTTGTGGCTGGATCATCCAAGTGACCTGGCCCTGAGGTTCCTGATATCCAGGCCTGCAAGTCACCATGGAGGGACCCAAGTGGACATGGGGGCGGAGTTCAGGGTAGGGCTACAAATAATATACTCGAAGGGCACCCTGGAGTCCAACACGGAAAAGAGATTTGGGGGTTTGGAGGTGCCCTTTTGGTTTTTTTTTGGTTTTTTTGGAGGGCCATTCTCATGATCCCTCGCCCCTCTCTTTAAGTCTCTGACGTCATCTACCCCTCTCTCCTCCCACTCCATTCGGCAATCCAGGTCCCCTCTCACCCCAGCACAGCAGAGCTCCTTCCTGCCTTTGCCCTAGTTCTTCCCTCTGCCTGGACGGAAACTCTCCCCAGGTGATTAAAGGGCTCAGTCCCTCACCTCCTGAAGCTTCTCAAGTCTTCTGTGTCTTGTTCAAGGTAAACATCTCTCTACTTGACCTTCTTTACTCTTTTTTCTCCTCAGTGTCTCTACCTATGCTCTTTTATACAGTTGATCTGTTCGCTGTCTGTCCCTCCAACCCTGTAATGGAAGATTCCCCAGAGTGAGGACCATCTCCAGCACTTTGAACTGTACATTGTAGGTACTCATTATCTGTCACATGAATAAACACCAGTGCTTATTTAACCCTTGGGATTCACTGAACCCACTTTTGCCTCCCCAAACTTTTGCAGCAAGTTCTATCTCCCCCATTTACAAAATGAGGAAATTGAGGCTGGGGAAGGTTCACTCCCTTGCCCAGGGTCATCATGTAGCTGGCCTAAAGTGGACCTGGAATGCTGCCCTGGCAATGATGGGCAGCCTAGGCTATTAGGATGGGTGGCTTGTGCTACTAGTAGTTTTGCCAAACAGAGAGGACAAGGGTGGGGCTCTGGGTCATGGTGGGAGTGAGACTCTTGATGACAGGTAGCTTCCCAGGTCCTACCTTCCAGTTCCCACTGGAGCAGAGTCCCAGAATTCCTCTGGTCCAGCTTTGCAGGGGAAAGAGGAAGCAGGGTGTGGGGCAGGTCCAGGGCAGAGGGGCAGGGAGCCAGGGATACCCGACACCTTTGTGGTCTGGGCTTTTACGCCAGTCTCCCCTGAGCTGTGAAATTCCCCAGCAGAAAATAACCCTCCTGCTGTTCACTAGGTTCTTCCTCTGTGGGGGATGGTAGGTGGAGGCACAGTAAGGACAGTCTTTATCAAAGGACAAGGGCACCTCCTAAAAGCCTTGTAAGCTGTTGTTCATCTGCTATGGGCTCCACGCTGACCTCAGCACTTTCCTATTAATTCTTCCTACAAGGTGGGTATGTCATTATGCCCAGTTTACAGGTGTCGGAAACTGAGGTACAGAGTGGCTGACTGGCCATAATTATAGCACTAGAAGACAGAAAGGCTGACCGCCCTTTGCAACTTGCGAATCACCTCCTCCAGTCTCCTGCTCCAAGTTTTTGATTAAGATGATTCCTGGAGTTGGTAGAGTGCTTGCTTAGCATGTGCAAGGCCCTGGGTTTAATCCCCAGTTCTACAAGGGCATGCCAAAGATCTCTCAAGGGCTTCCTCAGTCTGAAACCAGAACAGGGTCTGATGAGGTGGATCTGGTTCTAACTGCACAGGAGACTGTGCCTCTAAGTCCATTTTCCTAGCTCTAAAACAGGGGTCCAAACAACCTCCACCTGGGTGGGCTGCTGGGGGATCCTAAAGGAGGTCAGAACCTGGCATGTAAATACGGGGATTCTAGAGGCCAGGCGTGGAGTCTGTCTCCCTGCCAGGTGGCCTCAGACACTGTAAATCTTTATTTGCCTCTACCTCAAGGAGTCACTGTGAGAGTAAAATGAACATCCAGTCTCAGCACAGAGCATGGTGCATATTTGGTATTCCTTTTTTTCCTCTCAACTTTTCTGCAATAAGCATAAAGTTCATTGAACACTTACTCTGTGCCGGGGCCTGTAATAACATGGATTAACTCTTTGGGTTCTCATAATAGCGGTTCTCAAGGTGTGGTCCCTGGAGGACCACTGTCAGCCTCACCTTGGGAGTGTTAGAACCGCAGCTCAGGCCTGCCGGGACCCACTGAGTCTGAAACCCGTATTCTGTAGCAGCTCTCCAGGAGATTCCCCTGTGGTTAAATCTGAGATCCGATAACTTCTACCAATCCTAAGAGAAAGGTGCTGTTATTATGCCCACTTTACCAAGAGGAAACACGTTCAAAGTCATTGACCTGCTCCAGGGGACAGGACTGCTAAGAGGCAGTAGCTGAGCCCAGACACGGGGATGAGTCTATCCTTGGTGCCCTCTCTGGACTTGGATGGTGCAGAGCTGGTGTAAGCTGCTGGACAGGGGGGATCCCCAATGACTTTAGCACCCGCTGCCCCAGGAAATGGCCTCCCCACCACAGTGGGATCCGAGTGCGACGGGAAGCCCCCACCCGTTCCGGGACCCTCCAGGCACAGGCACAGCCAYTTCCAACCCTTTATTGGAACTCTGTCAGCCCCAAATAAATATAATACATTAAACCCAGAGCTGAGGAAATCGTGCACCCCAGGGGGTACCCCATAACCCCAGCCAGGCAAAATAAGTTAGTGCGGGGTCGCCAAAGGCCAGACCAGCTCCCTGGCCGGGCGGGCGATGGCGGTCAGGCTTGCACACGCTGGTCTAAAGTGCATCTTGCTCTGTGGTCCCCACGTCTGCATGGCCCTCAGCGGGGCCACTGGGAGGGGCAGGCGGGAGGTTCCCGGCGCTCACACCGTGCCAGCAGTGGCCACCGGGGCTCTTTGTGTCCTTCTGTCCATTTGAGGGGAGAGTTGTGTGGCCGGATACCCTCAGGAGAAGCTGTCATCAGACCGTGGCTGTGGCTGGGTGTCAAAGGGCGGGTCCGAGACTGTGATCCCTTGGTGTAGCTTCTCCAGCGAGAACTTCATCTGCCAGGAGGGGGCAGAGCAGGTGAGCACTGAGAGGGTGATGTCAACCCTGTCCTGCAGCCAGGAGGCCACGCCCCTACCCAACACAGGCCACCAAAGCCACGCTGCACCCCGTTTTAACTTCTCTGAGGCAGCAGAGGATGGTCTCAGTGTGAGCGTGAGGTCAGGTGGCCTGGGGTTCCATCTCGGCTTTGCTGTTACTGCCCTGGGCCCACGTCCCTCATCTGAAATGTGGGTCAGTGTTGTCCCTGTTTCATGGGGCGATTTCAGGGACAGGATGAACACTGGAATCTGGCCCACAGGAAGTGCCGAAGGCATGTTAAGGATGATTCTTTCCCCTGTGACCTTGGGCAAGCTCCTGACCCCCTGACCCCCAGGATGCTGCGTACCTCCTAACTCGCTACCAGAGRGGAAACTAGAGCATCCCTTCCAGGCTGGCCAGGAGTGTCACCCGCGCTCAGCGCCCGGGGAGCCCTGCCTGCATCTGCCGCTACAATCAATCTGCCAAGTCAACTCTGTACTCACGGCAATTTGAGAGAGAAAAATCATCAAAGATTTAACGCAGAATGGAAGAGTCCTGCCCTCCTTCTCTTTGAGCCTTAATTTCTTCCCCATCATGTCCTGCACAGCCTTGGGGGCATCTCCCCGTGAGCATGATTTCAGGGTGCAACAAGGGTGATCGACTGGCAATTTTGGCTCTGATCACCTCAGAACCCTCTCTGTTTCCCATCCCCCCCCCTCACACACACTGAGGGCACCTACCCCAGCGCCCCACATTTGCCCTGACCCACCACAGCTGCCTGCTGGAGTCCACTGGGGCATCCTCACCACGTGGGGAGGGCATGTTGATTAGACTCCTACTGTGCGCCTGGTGCTCGGCTCCCGTGACTGACAGCACACACCTATGAAGTGCTGACTTTTGGCCCAGCATTATTCCAAATGTTAACCCACTCCATCCTCACAAGAAGTGACATGGATTATGTGATCAAGGCTCAAAGTAAAGACACTTGCACAAGATCACACAGTAGAATTTGGATCCTGCCCTTGCACTACGTGGGGACTTGGGTCAACTCCCTTTTTGGAGAACCTCTTTTCTGCCTGCAGACGCTATGACCCCTTTTGCCAGAAGGGAGCAAGAGGAACAGGACTGAATCTAGCCCAGCCCTGGCTGCAGTGATTGTTTTGGGGGTGGGCCCATGACCCCAGCAGCCAATGAGAGTGAACTCTCCATTGGAGTGGCAGGTGCCACCTTGATCATCCTGCAGCAAAGGAAACGCCCCACACAAAGCCAACCCTGAGCATCGGCACAGTCAAGAGATGCTCTGAGATGGATTCTTATTACTATCAAGGGACTGGATCTAGCATCTGGCCCCACAGCCCCGCCCAGGCCTCAGCTGGTGAAGCGAAGCCCTACCTCATCCAGGAGCTCCACGGACGCCCGCAGGATCCGCCTCCACTTGTGCACCTCCACGCTGTGGAACTGCTTCTGCAGGGCCAGGATCTCTGCCCACTCAGTGGCCGTCTGAGGGAACTTGCTGCAGGGACAGGGGCCTGAGCACAGCCCCGGCCTCCCCAACCCGCCCAGCTGCCCAGCATCCTCACACTGCCCGCTTACCCTTTGGCCAGGGCCAGGCTGTGCCACGACTCAAAGGTGTGGGCCGTCCTCTCCAGGGACCAGAGGCGGTAAAAGAGGAGGGCATTGAGGGCGATGAGGACAATGAGGCTGGGGGAGGGGTCAGAGGTCAGTGACCAAAAGTCAGGCACTGAGCTCTGGACACCTCCCCACCAACCACACCTTGAAGGGGGCCTAAGACTACACCTCCATCTTTTCAGAGGATGAAACTGAGGTTCAGAGATGGTAAGAGACAGGCTTAGGGATGCACAGTATGTAGTTAAACAGTCGGGGTTCAAAACCAGGCCTGGCTATACCTATGCCCTTGACCACCACCCTTGGCCAAATCCCTGGGGACCCAGGGGGGCCTGGAATAGGGAGAGGAGGCTGCAGGGGGATGAGACACAGGGAGGGACAGGTGGGAGACGTGGGACCCTACCTCACACAGATCCTGGGAGCAGTGAGGGGAGCAAAGAGGTGACAGCCATGAGCCCGAGCCGGCCGCCCCCCTCCCCCGCCCTGGGCAGTGCCGGGACAGGCTGGCCACGTGGCTGCGCCTGAACTGGTCTGGCAAACTGAGGCCCAGAATGGCTGAGAGTGTAGCCCCCTGCCCTCCCTCCCAGGGTCAGCTCGAATCCCAGGGGCCTTATTTCCCTTCCCCAGAGCACCTGTCCCCCCCACCTTGATCGTGGGCCTTGCCTGCTCGGGTCTCAGCTCAGACATCCTGTGCTGTCCCAGGAAAGTCACCCCGACTGCCCCTCTGTGGGGCCTTGGAGGAAGCAGGTGCTGCCCTCCCACTGCCTCCCCACCCAGTCCTGACCGCCTGGGCTCGCGTCAGGACTGTCTCCCCGAGGGCTGTGGTCACTGTTGTGTCCCCACCTCCACCCGGCTTAGAGCTGGYCAGGGACACAGGAGTGAAACGCACCGATGGCCTCGTTCACCTGCACACCCCCCCCGCCCCCCGCTCACTGGGCTGATTCTTTAGCCTTTGGTGCCGATCTCCCACCCCCGCCCCCATCAAGGTCGAGTTACTCCGACCTCCCATAGCCCCCTGGGCCTCGCTCTTCCAGCAGAGAATCTTCTCCGTGACAAACTGAGCATCTACACTGTGGA